GCAACTAACTTTAAAGTCGACTTTATTTTGACTATGACTACGGGCCAATATATTTTTAAAGAATTTTTCCAAATTCTTTCAAATTGGCCAAAAACAGGATCTAGATGTAAATTTCTTGTTAACTTTTACCCCCACGTCTCCACCTTCTACAGATTCTGTCAAAAAACCTGTGTTAATACAGAAATGTCAGGCGGCGACCGCAAATTTCCACTGTTAAACCATATCTGTCTTGCCGAATTTCTTACCATCTCTGTATTAACAGCAGCTGTCATTTCGTAGTTTGACAACTCAATTTTCATTATACCGCGCCGTCTACATTGGGTACAGATCAATCTGATTGGTGTGATGCTTTAACACGTTTCCTATCGAAAAATGGAATACTGAGATAATTGACTAATCTCACATTCTCTTTTATCCTCCTATTAGGCTTCGCTACATTTAATCCACAAATGTCATCGCCGCACTATAGGCAAAACACGAGTTTTTTTTTCAAAATCGTATATCTTTGCTTAGAAAAGAGATAATGGAATGAAATATTTTTTAAAATTTTGGATTTTGGCTCCCATTCCACTAGAAAACACTATATTTAATACACCATTAGCACTATTCCAATCCATCCAATGTCCCAAAAATCAAGTTTTAAGATAAAATAAAGATACATCTTTCAGAAACGGTGCTAATGGCGTATTAAGTATAGTCTTTTCTAGTGGAATGGGAGCCAAAATCCAAAATTTAAAAAAAAGCGACATTTTAAACGGTACTTTGAGGGTTAAGTTATTGTTGTTGTAACTTCTCTATAGTTTTCCTATATTATATGATCATTTATCTTCTCGATAAAAAAAATTTTCTTTCCATTATCTCTTTTCTAAGCGAAGATCTACGATTTTTTTTTGTTTTGCCTATAGTGCGCCGTCGGGAATTTTTCTCCATCGAATAAACAGTGAGTTAAGTATTTGCAAATTATTTTTATTTGCAATTAGCTTGTGTATAAACGTAATATATACCTTTGTACAAGGCCTTTTT